AAATATTTTATCTCTATGGAAACAGGACAGAATTTTCTTTCACAGAATATGTGGAAAGATTTGCATCAAAGTATGAAAAAACATATATTACATATATAGATGACAGTTCTTTAAACTCTCCCTCCAGTCAACTGGAATTGAATATAACTAAAAGTTTTTTTTCTTTGTTCCTACAGTTGTATGTTTGAGCTTTGCTGTGCAGAATGATGTATGGACAGAGTTTGACACTAGAAGGATGTTTTCACATTCAGTTGCATTAAAATGTGGTCTGTGTACCTAAAATGATTTTGGGGCTGCAACTAACGATCCTTATTGTCATTAACAATTAATCTGCTAATATTTTTCTTGATGAACCAGTTTGTCAATCACATGTCAGAAAACAGTGACCCATTATAATCTTATTCTTATTTTATAATTATAATCAATTATTGTCTGAGGGAGCGTTTTCCAATTCTGTGTTTTATGTGGCCATCAGTCCAAAACCCAAAGAAGCCCAAAAACTCACTTATGAACTTTCACTCATTAAAATGAAAGTTGTTAGTGTTTATCAATTTCCTTTGAAATTGACTTAAAATATACATTTATACTTAATACAACCAATCCATTTCCTGTAGTTGTCAATAATGCTTGTAAGTATGTTTTATTACATTTTTAAACAAATTAAAGTAAAATTCCTACAATGTTTGTTTGAATCCCTATAATCTTATTTTTCATTGTTTACTTCTGTGTCTCTTTCCAAAAACAGGACAGAGGAATCTTTGACTTTCGTCTGGCAGAATAAGACACTCAGCAGACACAGTGGCAGAGCTCTGTAAAGTGCATTGTTTGCTTTGCTTCCAGGGGTTGCCAGGGGTCCAATTCTGGACTGCAGCCTCTGTGGAGCTTAAGACCCCTGAACTGACAGGTCAGTCAGGGGTGAAAAAGAAAGTGTTGTGCAGCGGCAGTGACCAGCTCGCAGCGAAGGCAAACACAGCTGGATACACAGGGTTTAAAAATACATCCTGGCATCTTGGTGTCTCTGCTCTGCCCCAGTCAAAACAAAAACTCTGTAGCTGCTTTGAAATCCTTTCAATCTGAAGTTCATTCAGTCTGACAGTCGCCTGAGTGGACAGCCGTCAAAGAAAAATGTAGTGTGGGAATTTAAAAAAGGCCTCAGTTTGGACCAGATCCGATGAGAACTTTCAGAAAAACGAGAAAGGAAAGAGTCGAGGATGTGAGTGGAGTAGAAAGATCAGAAATGAGCTGCTTGCATACACACACAAACTCCATCTTGCCTTAATGCCCCTAACAGCTATTGATACAAATCTTTCAGAAGTGTTGATGAGTTACTCATCAGCTAATACTTCTGATCAACAGCACACTCATCAGGAAGCGATGTCCTCCTCTCGCTGCGGGCCTGCATGACACTTTTCCCACCACTCACTCAACGTTCACACACACACACATAATCATGTGTCATTGTCCATTACAACACCAATTGTTCCTCCCGTTGCGCTCTCTCTTGACCAACAACCTTCCCCTTTCCTCCACTGAGCGGGCACTTTGTCACTGACGGGTCACGAGTAAACAAGGGAAAAGTTGAACCTACCTGGCTGAAACATATCCCAAACACAGGGTGCACTTGTGAATCCCTTATCCTGTCTCTCATCTCCCGCTGTCTCTCTGCTATCACCCTGTCTCTCAACCTCAGGTATCTATCAGACTCTGCTGTACCTCCAGTACTTACATAACACACCTGTAATCTCCTTGGGTACAAGCCCTGGCATGGCAGGCTGGCAAAGCGGAGCAACAGTATGTGACACACCCTTTCTAAACAAATGGCTCTGTCTCAGCCTCACCTACAAGAGGGTGCAAGAGGTAAACCCGCAGCCGTCAACCCTCGATCCCTGGAACTGCTGCAGAGTTTCCAGAAAAGTTTGGATTTGGAGCTCGGCTCGAGTCCAAAGTCCAGGACAGCCGCTGGACAAACAGAGAGGGGGAGACCACCCCCCTCCAAGAGGTCCTGAGGTGGTCCTGTTATCTCTGTCAGGTTAATCAACAAGCAGTGGATCTATATAAGAGCATTATGAACTGCAAACGGACTGTCACTGACTGGCAAGAACTAAACCAGGTGTCACACCGTGCTGTCAAGCAGTCACTTGCTGCTGGGACAGTGCCGGGAAATAACACAATAGTCTTCATTGTCATAAGTTCCATAGCTGAGAGAAGCACTACAGGTCTTAAATTACCTGTGCTTAAGATCCCTCAAGGCCAAGCTAAGCAAATCTCCCACACCTAGTTTTCCATGCATGCCTATACTCAAACTGGATTTTTTGCCATCCGTTTGCACCTCACTTTATCTGATTACACACTGTTTTCAACTATTTTTATTTTTATTTGAAGCCAGATCTTGTAGTTGTTGTTTTTTTTATATTAGAGCCACTGCAGTAGACTAATCACACATCATGATGCAACAGCTTCACCTAAAAATGTAGTTTCTGTACATTTTTAAAAGTTGATTCAGTCGATCCCAGTGTGACTTTACTCTGATTTTATGTTTTTGAAACAATACTTAACAAGACTTTTTACTGTTTTCTCGTGTGAAAGTATCGTTTAGGATGAACTGTCAAAAGACATAATGTGTGCTGATCAATGCACTTTTCTCTCTATACTTACACAGCGACAAAGAAACACAAATACCTTGTTGAACTTTTCTGATCCGGATGGGTTGATTCAGCCTCTCTCCATTTGAAGCGTCTCCCTGCTGCGCCCTTCCTCACCAACTCCAAACTTTCACCGTCCGAAGGAAAACTTCAGGTGAATCATTTCCGTGAAAAAAAAGCACTTCAGGAAGCGACTGGAGTCTGGATGTTTGTAACCGCGGGTGCAGATCCCTTTGTTGGCTGTCAGAGAAAGTGTCTTCTCCGCTGTCGGTGCTGTTTGTGTGCGGACGCTCCGGTGGACCACAGTGGGGGGAAATGAACACAAGTTGCGTCTCCGCGGACCTGCAGCTCCCACCTGGAGGAGGCTGGACGCGCGCTCAGGTGAGGCTGACAGGCTGCGGTCAGGGCTGTGAGGACATCTAGTGGTGAGATGGCGGAACAACAAGAAACACACAGCAAGTGAGAAAGACGAGGAATTTTCTTTTCCCACGCTTAAGTTTTTTATTTATGTTTTAGTTTTTTTTAGTTTTTTTTTTTTACTTCTAACCAACGTCCCCAGCCTGTTTCTTCTGGACATTCACATCTGGATACAACATATGAGTAATACTGAATGACAATAAAAATGTTATCACTTGCGTTGTATTTTGCATGGGAATCCCATTTTAATGTTAAATAAATCTCTTTGACTATGACCGTTAAAATGTGATCATTTTACCATTGTTTTTTTTTTTTTAAACAAATAAATATTCCTTGTTGTTTTGTTTGGTTTTATTTATTTATGAAGAACAACAAATCAGTGTATCAAAACCATACAAGATACATAGGACACATCACTGTGCTGTGAAAACCATGTATTTCAAAAACATCA